TCTGAGAGAATATGAGAAGAAAACATCTTTTCAATTTCAAACTTATGCAAGTAAAAGATTTATTAGTTATACCTTGTTGGAGAAAAATATATTTTCTATTACTGAGCTGGGATTTTATAAAGTAATAGGGATGTGTATTTAAAAAACAAAAAACAAGTGGGGCGCCTGGGTGGCTCAGTTAGTTAAGCGTCCAACTTCGGCTCAGGTCATGATCGCACGGTTTGTGAGTTTGGGCCCCATGTTGGGCTCTGTGCTGACAACTCAGAGCCTGGAGCCTCCTTTGGATTCTTTGTCTCCCTCCCTCACTGTTCCTCCCCTGCTTGTGCTCTGTCTCCTTCAAACATAAAAAAATGTAAAGAAAAATTTTAAAAAATCCCCAAAACAAAAACACAGGTGGTGCCTGGGTGGCTCAGTTGCCTAAGCATCTGACTTCGGCTCAGATCTTGGGGCTGCTGGCTTCCAGCCCCATGTCAGGCTCTGTGCTGACAGCTAGCTCAGAGCCTGGAGCCTCCTTCAGATTCTGTGTCTCCCTCCCTCTCTGCCCTTCCCTTGCTCATGCTCTGACTCTCTCTCTCTTTCTCTAAGGTAAACATTTAAAAATATAACCAAATAAATAATAAAAAAATAAAACAACAAAACCCTAAGGGGTGGCTCAGTTGGTTAAGTGACTGATTCAATTTTGGCTCAGGTCATCATCTCAGGTTCCTCGATTGAAGCCTCACTTCGGGCTTCGTGCTGAGAGCATGAAGCTTGCTTGGAATTCTCTCTCCTCTCTCTCTGCCCTTCCAGCACTTGTGGAGACACAAGTCTCTCTAAAAATAAATAAACTGCAAAAAAAAAAAAATAAAAAAAAAGAAAAACCCTAGAAATTACCAGGAACAAGAGAATCAAAATGGTAAGAACAAAATACAGGCAAATAAGGCAATAAACAGCAACGGATCATTATCATGCAATTCCTCAGGAAGAAAAATACAATCTTTCCCTAACATAAAAGACATGTTACCCCTTGTAAACACATATTTTTTAAAGAACAGGAAAATATGAATTTGTATGCAAATTGTGACAACTACTGTCACGTTAGAAATAAAAAAGAGTTATTTTTCCCGTTTGGTTGGTTTGATTTCTTTGGTCCAGACAACATAACGCAGATGACATAGTTGGAGTCAAAGTAGTTTTGAGTTTAGAGTAATACAATTTTCCATCTTATTTACAGGCATTCACATATTAAGGAAAAGTACTGAAGAGCTCCAGACTAACTGTGAAACCACCTAGAAAGTTCCATGAGAGCAGGAACCATATGGGCGATTTTCATTTCATACTAGCACCACCACCTTTGTACCCCCCGACCCAGCACTTGTGACTTAAAATGAATTTTTTTTCCTTTTTGGCACACAGAGGTTATTCTAAACACAGTGATTATACACTGCCCTGACCAGGCAGTAACTCTAGACTCCCTCTTACTCCAGGCAACACATTACACCCTTTTGTTCTCAAGATATATTACCAACACGAAAGGGCTTAAATTGCTTAAATAATTAACCTAACAATTACTTTGCATTGACAAAGCTGAGTAATTTTATTTTAAATAGTAAATAGGCTTAAAATGACCTTTGGGATTGGAAGGGCTCAAACTGATAAAAGGATTTAAAAGTCACAGCCTCATTTAGTTTTCCATAATCTCTTAGGAATATTCAAAAGCCATATGCTAGTGTACATAATAAAGGAAATAAGCAATTATAGAGAAAAAAGGGGAAAATTGAAGGTGGTTAAAAATTATCTGATATTAAAGTTTAGTATCTTGCATATTTCATTTTTGTAGGTGTTTTATCATTTTTAACAAAATAAAGAAGTTTTTAATATATATTGAGACAAGGAATCCGACACATACCTCTATATCTACATCTACAGATACTTTGGTGATTTTTAAACAGGTAAATAAAAGTTTTTTGACATAGTAAAGAATGTACCAGCTTCAGTAACAGACAAGGGCTAAATAGAAAAAGGATTTGAATCTAAATCAGGAAACTACCCTTCTGCTTCTAACACAAACTAGAATCCTAAAAAGATCAACTCAACTCTTGGGGTCTTAATTTCTACTTTGCAAAATAAAAGAGATTATATTAGGAGGAACTTTGAAGATAGGCATCTTCTATCTCTAACACTCTTTTGATTTTTTACACATACTCCTTTATTTTAACCTCCAAATAAATGACAGCATAGGATGCATTTAAAAAGATAATGTTTGTATATATAAACACAAGTGCTTGGGGGTAGTGGTCCTGAGAATGTCAATGAATGAGCCCTAAGAAAAATGAATACTTACAGGCTAAATGTGGCCAGACATTATAATCCATCACTGATCCCTAAAGGGCACTAATAATATGTAAATGTGTGAATTAGAAAACACATTCAAGGCTGTTGATAAACTTGATAGGATAATAATCACGCTGACAGACTAATGAAACTGATGAACTGATAGGGCAGCTTATCTCCTGGGCCATTTTTTCTCTTGTCATATGGAGGCTAATCAAAATGTATTAGGAGTTAACACAAATACTCAGAGGATTTCACCCATTTGATTAGGAGGTGAACTCACTCTGAGAAAATTATAGTTTCGTGAACAACTGAAACTACAAAACGCGCTCAGCTGAAAGACCCTCACCTAAAATTACACAGAAGGCAGCCACCATAATTATGGAAGAGATCTGGAATGTTAAATCATATTGGGATTCTCCCATTACAAAGCCTTCTCAGAGTCTGGGCAAAATGACCTCTTTCTATAATGAAAAATAAGACAAAGGACTAAGCAATAACCCCAGGGTCATACCTATCATTTGCTGCCTGTGTGTGCTCAGCATCTGTGTATGAGAGACAGATCCCAAAGTAGCAGCTGAGTTTTCAATCAAATTTATTTGCATAAAATAATTGAATGAATTCTCTGAAATCACTAACTATATAGTGAGGACCACACTTCCTATTAATAATAAAGATGCCATATGCAGTCTGTTGCCAAGGAGCTGAGTCCTTTCCTCATTTAAAGAAAGACATCTTCTTTGAAAATTCAGGAAAATAGGGAACAAGGGTCCCAGAAGCATTAGCATTAAAAATAAAATCATAGAGTCAGGGGCACCTGGGTGGCTCAGTTGGTGAAACATCTCACTCCGGGTTTCAGCTCAGGTCATAATCTTGCAGTTCATGAGTTAAAGCCCCACACTGGGCTCTGTGCTAGCAGTGTGGGGTCTGTTTAGGATTTGCTTGCTCTCCCTCTCTCTGACTCTTCCCTGCTCTCTCTCTCTCCCTCCGTCTGCCTGCCCTCCCTCTCAAAATAAATAAACATTAAAAAATTTTTAAATAAAAAATAAAATCATGAACAAAACTACCGTGATTTCTTGAGAAAGCTAGAGAATAAAATCCTTTTAATGTTCATTTTGACATGAATAACCATCCAGCATTAATACAGAAAAGTTAATTCAACTGACAAATCTATATTCAAAAGGGACATACTTTATGGACACACATATGGGTAGATACATGTGCTGGGTAGGCAGATTGGTGGTAACATGCTGGGTGGTAAAAGCCACTGTTCTAATGTACTAAAAGTACATTTAATGGAGCTAGATTTTTACCTTTTAGTAATTGTACCAAAGAGAAAAAGAAGCCACAACTAAAAATATCCCAGTGTCCTCTTTCACCTAATCATGAAACCAGTCCATTGCTGCACAGGCCAACTGGGGGTGGGATTCTCAGACACGTGGAATGAAAACTTTGATCCCTCCCAAATTACTATTTTTCTATTTACTGACCTGTGCCTCATTCTATCTCTAAATTATTTCTAATTTTTTTTTTCCTTATTTAGAAATAAGAAAAAGTGTAGAAATAAGAAAAAGTGAGTGTCTTTGAGACCTATATACTTTCTAGTTTGGGAAGGTTTGGGATTTGTTGTGTGTGCTCAAGCCATATAGCTAGTATCAAATTTCTCAAATCATTGAATACAGAAGCATAAAATAATCCTAAAGATTATGTAGTCTGTTTTCTATGCCTAGAAATATTAAACAACTGAGTTTAATGAGAAAGGAAAATCTGAGTTTGTGATTTGTGCTTTGGAGAAAATAGGCAACTTGATGGAAAAAGTAACCATTTTTCTCCTCTCCTTTATCTATTTTTCTTCTCTCCTTTAACTTTATTAGCAAAGTTAAACAGCAGAGTATCTTAAACTGCAGGGATTTTCCCCCAAGAGACACATACTGAATAGGTAGTTTTCAGTTGTGTCTACTAGCAAATAGATATGGTGACAATTTCCTATAAGGCAGTCACAGATCAATCACAGACGATAGCTAGATTATTTTATTAGAAATTCTAGTTCTTGGCCTCTTACACTTTACTGTAAAATAATACTCTGATAAAACCTTATCAGTGAGAATAACACAACTTGGTTCAGTTATTCCCATTTTTTATAAGCATCAAAATCATGACTCTCTATTCCATATCATGTTTATTCAGAGGAATCTTCTGAATAAGAAAATAACATGATCAAACGTTATCATGAATTTGATAAATCATTAAAATATAAATCTTTATTCACCATTTTTAATCTCTAGAGTCTAGTTTTAATACTCATACCCAAATGGATTTGTGAGTCACTTGCAACAACTATGGTATCTGGCCAATTTGTTAAGAATCACTATGTTAATGTATTTATTTGCTCTTGTTAGAATAAGTGTGCTTTGTCAGGATGTCTGGCTGGCTCAGTCAGTAGAGCACGCGACTCTTAATCTCAGGGTCATGAGTTTGAGCCTCACATAGGCGGGTAGAGTTTACTTTAAAAAAAAAAAAGGGTGTTTTGTGAAAATTTGAATGTATCACACAGCTGTGAATAAGTTTTCTGTTTGTGTGTGAGGATTAATAATATAATTTACTAGAATTCTATTTAACAAAAGCACAAATTTTAATTTCTCCATAGGTCTCTGAAATATCAGTTAAAATATTAACATTTTACTTACCCATCATGTTGTACAGGCTCTGTGGGGCAAACTGCCTGGGCATTTTCTGAATTGCTTCCTTGTATACACTAAGGGCATCCTAATTTAGGAAACAGAAAGGAGACAAAGTACAGTGATATTCACTACAAATAAAATAATAACATCCTTCCAAAGTCAAAACCTTCCATTGCTATTTCTAAATGGTTCATTAGAGTAAAATACTTGAGCTGTCTTTTGATAGCATACCTACTTTAATTCCATGAATGAAAATATTCAACCCAGTTAGTAGAGAAGGCCATATAAACATTTAATTTAACAAGGAGTCAAATGTTATCAATGCTCTTTCATTTTAAGATTAAGTTTTTCCAGTTCACAGAGGTTATTCAGTTAAAAAAAAAAAACTAGTAAAATTCACCTTCAGAAACTACCCATCATCATCTAAAATCTATACGTACTTCAAGCCCAGCAACCAGGTAGGATCTAAACAAAACAGTGACTAACAAATCTTCTGGCTACTGAAATCCACTGAGATTATAAAAATGCAATTATATAAAAAGTCGTATCTTCCTCCTTATACTGCAGTCTTAATACAGGGTGTAAGAGTATGGGTTTGAGAGAGAGGAAGGGAAGGAGGATTAGTATGTGTGAGAGAGGGATCCCATGCAGGGATGCTTCATGGAAGACCAAGGGCACACACACCTCCAGCTTCCTGGACAATGTCCTGTCTCCAGTGCTTTTCCTCTCATCCCAATTAAAAAAATAAAATTAATTTTCATTTTATTCCTATTGTAAAAAGAATTAAGTGGATAGGATTAACAACAAATCCCTTCCTTAATACTCAGAGCACAGTGTAATTTATTTTTTTAAACATCAAATACTGGGTAGTAGATAACAGTACGAATGTGTCTTGGAGCATAAACTCGAACAGGAGATAGGCAAATAAGCTTAAGAAACTATGTAATTTCCCCTTTCTAGAGGAGTCACAATTACTCTGAGAAATTAACAATAACGAAATCTTAAATTCTGTGTAGCAGAGGTTCTTTTCCAAATGAATTCCACCAAAAAACTCTTTTAATAAAAACTCATATTAACTTCTTAAATGATCATAGTGCCCCTGCAATGACATCTTAGGGTAGAAAACATGGAGACAAGATCAAGAACAAGGGGGAAGGAACAGGGCGGAGGTTTTGGCCTGACCTCATAATGTCCCTGTTCATGATAGAGTTTTCCCAGGTTGTACAGACAGCTGGTAACTGAGCTCTTATGTGCATGAGGGTCCTTTAGATTTTCATCAGGGATCTCAGAGCACTTTAGGAATGTGCGTCGGGCTTCTTCTGTCTTTCCTTGGTTCATTAGAATAATACCGGTGTTTAAATAGGCAGCTGAGGAAAAAAAAAAAAAAAGGATGAGAAGATGATGCACTCTGTGACTACAATAATGTTATATTTACTTCAACTCTGTTTGTATGGATTATTTCTGATTTTATAAGAAAACCACGAAATAAATACTTGGGATCAGACATAGACGGGAGCCATAATGCAATAAGAAGTGCAGGTATCAGTGAAGAATATATGGATAGCCTTTGTCCTCAAAGAGCTCAAAATATTTTGAGCTTAAACTCTAGAGGAATACAAGTTGTATTTATCTTAATATATTACAAACGATAAATGGATATCAAACATGATTTAATTGAGACAGATGTAATAATTGAGAGGCTCATAATCCAATTGGTAAATATTCAGAAATAGAAATAGCATGTTTTTTTCTCTCTGAGGCTGTAAGTCATCAAGATAATTTTCATAGATAAAGAAGTAAAGAAAGAGGTGTTTTAAAAGAACTTGAATATGACTTACAAGCCAGGGTAGGCCTGCTTCCGATCGCCAGTTTGTAATAATGTAATGCTTCCGCAAACCTGCTGTTCTCCTGTAGAAGTAATCCTCTGCATGAGGAAAATAGAAATTTGGAGAAGGACTGCATTACTATACATAAAACCACAAATATTTATTTTATATTTCAAAACTAAAAATGGTTAAAGGGGCTGTAAAAATGCTGAGCTGGTACTATAAAAATAAATTCTAAATAGAAGGAAATGATTACTCAGGAGAGAAAATACAGGAGAGGTATCAGCTACATTTATGTTGCATTAGAAAGTATTAAGAAGTATTTTCAAAAAGCCCTTTCCTCCCAGTGAACTTTTTCCCTTTCCAGCAGTTTTTCCTCTTCCACTGGAATGACCAGCCACCTGGATTTCTTCTTGGAGCATGCACAATTTTTCATCACTTCAGAAAGGAAACTTATCTAAGGCAACACACACACACGCACGCACACACGCACACGCACCAGAGCATGAGATGCCTCTCTCACTAGCCATATTACTGGGGAAATACTGGTCCATGACTGCCTGAGAAACAAATGGTAATATGGGTCAATAGGAAAAAGAGAGAATTTAGCCAGATACTATGTAAGAACAGAGAGAAGACTGAAGGTTATTCAAATTGGTATTTCCTTATTTTCTGGATTTAGTGAAATAAGTTTGAATTTCAGAACACTAGGAAAATTTCACCTCACTGTTGTGAGAGACAACACGCTTTTGTCTACAGACCGCTAAACCCCACGGGTCTCCTGAGAAGGCTCCTAAGGCAGTGGCCACATGGATTATGTCATTCCAGACTCCACCCTCATGACCTAAATAAGAATTATAATCATATCTATAAAGAATTATAATTATATCATATCTATAAAAATATAGTGTCGGGGGTGCCTGGGTAGCTCAGTCGGTTGAGTGTCCAACTTCGGCCCAGGTCATGATCTCACACGGTTCATGCATTTGAGCCCTGCGTGGGGGTCTGTGCTGACAGCTCAGAGCCTGGAGCCTGCTTCAGATTCCGTGTCTCCATCTCTCTCTGTCCCTCTTCCACTTGTGATCTCGCTCTCCCTCTGGCTCTCAAAATGAATAAACATTAAAAATATTTAAAAATACAATGTCAGGGAATTGGACTAAGTACAAAAAGCTCTCTCAGAAGCTTTTTGGCCTGTGCCTTATTTTCTTGTAATCAGTGAGTATCTTATGGACATTTGGCACCTTTATTGGGTCAAGTATTGCTGTTGTAAACCTCAAACTGAAGAGACCACTTTGCCAGCTGCTAAGGCCTTTGCAAAATGAGAAGGCTACCGATAAACACACATCATTTTGTAGAATATTTTTAAAATATTCATCTTACTATTTAATGAGAATCACTGAAAAAATATGAAGAAAATCATTTCAAACATAAAGTCTGCTCACTTGTATCATTAGCAAAGATTAACCTTACTATTTCTAATATTTAAGATTCATCTGAATAGATCAAACCATTCCAAAGCACATCACATACATAGATACATAAATGTATATTTCTATAAAAAGATTTGAGCAACAATTTTTTTAATGTTTATTTATTTTTGAGAGAGAGAGAGAGAGAACGAGGAAGGGAGAGACAGAGATAGGACACAGAATCCAAAGCAGGCTCCAGGCTCTGAGCTGCTAGCACAGAGCCTGACATGGGGCTTGAACCCACCTACCATAAGATCATGACACTCAACCTACTGAGCCACCATGCACCCCTGAGCAGCAATTAGTTTGATCATGAAATTGATTTGCTTTGCAGCTGAGTATACTTTTCAGTTGCTAGTTTCCTGAAGTATCCAAGAGTTTGTGCCAATGTTCAACTGTCTTTTTTTTTTTTTTGAGGGTGCAGGGGAGAGAGTGCAAGTACAAGTTGGGGAGGGGCAGAGGAAGAAGGAGGGGAGAATCTTAAGCAGGCTCCATGCTCAATGCTGAGCAGGATGAGGGGCTTGACCTCATAATAGTGAGATCATGACCTGACTCTAAATTGAGAGTCAGACACTTAACCAACTGAGTCATCCAGGTATCCCTGTTCTACTGTCTTTAAAAGTGGGTATATACCTAAAACTAACATAACATGACATATCAACTACACTTCAGTTTTAAAAAATAATAACTCTAACAAAGGGATGAAATACTCTTTGTAAAGACCTGAATATCTTTAAAAATAAATACAAAAAAGGTAGAACTGTTAAAGAGAAGAGAAAATTCACATGCTTTTTGAAAAAAGAATAATATTCTAACAATAATTTTATTGAAAAATGCTGGATTTCCAGTTAATTAAGTTCATATACAGAATCTCATTTCAGAAACTTATCTACAACCTTAATTCCCTTTATCACTTTCCTTTGAGAGTCAGATAATGAGGTCCTACACCTTTGATACAAGGCTAAGGGCACCTGAGGAGAAATACCATCCAGATATTTAATTCTATTTTTTGTACCTTCCTTAGGAAACAAAATGCTTCCAAGAACCCCCGTTTACCTAATATCTTCAATCTTTTTGTCCACTATAGTTTCCTTTGCCTTAAAAAAAAAAAAAAAGAAAAAAAAAAAGCTTATGTACCTCTTAGCACATAGAGGAAGAAAAACTCCAGCAACCTTTATTCATTTCTGCATCTACCTATACCTCTTATTATTGCTCTTCTCAGATACAGATTTCCTTCCAGAATGGTCTATAGTGTAAATGTCCAATGACTCAAATCCTATTTAACCCTAAATCCAGTTTATCAGTTCTAATTATCAACCACCCCCTTTCCCCCACATAGTGTGCTTATATGAATTGCCCAAACAACTGTACTTGTGACTGTGTAACTCCTCCTTCTTCCTGAAATTTTATTTCCTCTGCTTCCTGGAGACTGGTCTCCCCTAGTTTTCTGGACTTGGGACCATCCTACAGAGAATAAAAAAAAAAGTATCTCTTGAAGTACATTCATATATTACTTTGAAAGACTGGTGCTTCAGAGGACTTTGTCTTTCTTCTCCTTTCTTCACCAATACTGTCTCTGCATGACATCATGCTTATATGTAGCTCATATATAGACTGACTCTTCTCAGTTCTGAAGTGGTGATTGGTCTCCTGACATCCAGATTTATTTTTAACAGCTTACTGAACTACTTCAACCTAGGTGCTCACTAGAATTTCAAAATCAGCATATCTAAAACCTGAAAACAGCCTCTCCTGCTCAAGAATAATAAAAAGAAGGGGTGGGCACCTGGGTGGCTCAGTCGGTTGAGCGTCCGACCTCGGCTCAGGTCATGATCTCACGGTTCATGGGTTCGAGCCCCGCATTAGGCTCTGTGCTGACAGCTTGGAGCCTGGAACTGCTTCGGATTCTGTGTCTCCCTCCTTCTCTGCCCCTCCCCTGCTCATGCTCTGTCTCTATCTCTCTCAAAAATAAATAAGTATTAAAAAAAAAGAAGGGGCACCTGAGTGGCTCAGTTGGTTAAGCATCGACTTCAACTCAGGTCATGATCTCACAGTTCATGAGTTTGAGCTCCATATTGTGTTCTGTGCTGATGTTATGTCCGAATCGCGAGTCACCTCCAAGGAGCTGACACCGATGCAAGTATATAAGGGTCTTTATTACAAGCTCGAGCAGGGGCTCACCCATCTCCCGGCAGAGCGGCAGCAAGGTGAAGCCCCGAACAATGGCGAGCAGGGTTTTTATGGGGTAAGGGACAGGGGTGTTACAGTGCACATGTTGTACATACAGCATCATCACATAAGCACCAATCATAATTGTACAGGACCCATGGTAACAGTTTTGACCATTCAGTATCTGTGAGGCGTCCTTACTTTTGGCAGGACCCAGTCATGACCTTTGAGAATCCTTTGAAAATGACCAATTATGAGGTGAGTTCAAAGGGCCCACGTGGGGTTTAGTGGTGAGTGATTGGCTAGTTTGTACAGAGTAACTACCTGCAGTTCCCAGGCCTAACTCAGACTACAGGAATGTTACACATTTCTTTTGACTGGCTGATCCGAGGGTGGTCCGAGGGTGGCTTCAGCTGAAGCTTTTCCTGGAACTGGGCTACGTGCAGCCCGAGGTTGCTCTTAATGAAGGACTTAATTTCAGGCTCCTCACTGACAGCTCGGAACCTGGAGCCTGCTTTGGATTTCTCTCCCTTTCTTTCTCTCTCCCTTTAGAGCTCTCTCTCTCTCTCTCAAAAATAAACAAACATTAAAAAAAGAATAAGTAAAAAGATAAACAAATGAAATAAATAAAAAGAGAAAAAAATCTCTTTGGTAATCAGCACCACCATTCACTACATTTACAAAATCAGAAACCTGGTGATCATTTTTTACTTTTCACTCATACTCATAATTCCATGTTTTATAAAGTCTTCAAAGCCCACAAATTCTTTATTTTCTCACTCTTTACTCTGCCTCTCAAGGTTTATCTTTATGGCTCCATCAGAGCCCTTTGTATCTTCACTGTCACCTAAATAACTGCAACAGCCCACTAATTAGTCTCTACATAATTACATTTCTCAAGGCCATATGCTGTTAGGCTAGACAGAATTAACATGAGGAGATGAGCACCTATTTTTGACAATATGCCTAAAGCCCATAAACTTGCAATCTGATGAATTCAGCCTCATGGGCTCCCTAACGCTAATGTACTAAATTCCAATCATTTCCCAATTCAAAACCATACAGAGGAGAAAACGATAAATAGCATCATCACCATACCTAGAGAATTTTGTCCAGCCTGCTTTATTCTTTGGAGGAATATAGTCCTACGGAGAGCTATAGTAGTCAAGTGTCCAGGAATACTTATAATACAGCCCTTTGAATCCCTGAGTATCATCCCCTACATTATGTGAATAAAGGCAGCAGATAATTGAGTCCAATGAAGTGAGATCGCTATTGTGACCAATTTCTCATGGCTAAAGATTTTAACTAAGCATCAACTATGCCCTAGTGTGCATGCTGTAAATGTGAACAAGACAGATATACGCTCGCCTGTGGATGAACAATCTACTGAGGGAGATAAATAAAATAAATGTTGTGGAAATAAATATGCTAGAGGATGGAGGACCAACACTGGTCCA